TTTTTTTTTTTTTTTTTTTTTTTTTTTTCTTTTTCTGCTTTCTACTAATTTAATCAACCACTCAGCTACACCCAATTCCAATCTTGCATTCTAGTGTCAATGTTACACAATGGGTTTTCTGGTGAATGATTTTTAAAGTCACAATTTTATTTTAAAAGTGAATAAATATCAATCATAACTTTGAATTTTAATTTTTAGTTTTTAAATAAAAAATTAACTAGCCAATATCCTTTTATTAAAGTTTTTTTGTTTGATCGGTCAAAGTGTCTAAACTTTTAAAATTCATTATTTGTATATATTTAATGAGATTTTGAGGGTTGAAATTCTATTACTTTATGTTTAAAATTGAATCTCCAAGTAAATAAATTTGTGCAAGTGCATTATCATCATTATCTTTGTGAATTAAAACTTCGAATTTTTTTCTCCAAATTCAACTAAAGGACATTAAAGGTTGGTTTTGATTATAGTTATAGAGTAGCAGTAGCAGCTTCTACTTCCCTGGATCTCATGGTGAAGGCATCATCTCAAACTCTAACCCACGTATCTTCCCTTCTCTTATCCATGTCCTCCGCAAGGTTCGGATTCTTCTGCCACTTCCCAACACTCCCTCCTTCTTCCTTCCCCTTCCCCACTCCAAGACTCTTCTCCACCAACCCCTCTCCATACCCTCTCCAATACGAACTCATCATCAACCGTCCATCCTACCCCGAAACCCCCCGCCCACCACCTGTTCGACCCAATGACTCTCCCGAACACGACCCGCCCCAACTCGACAAGGCCCAGAGGAAGTACTACAACAAACGCCGCAAGAGGATGTACGGCTCCGACTCCGATCAAGACACCAACGCGCCGCATGACCAAGATTTCGTCGAGTTGAAGCCCGAGGTGGTCGACTTTCCCACGCTGCATAAGAGAGAAGAAGAGTTGTACTTCTACGACGCGTTTGCCTATCCCTGGGAGAAGGAGAAGCATTACAAGATGGTTTATCAGTTGGAGAAGAAGTACTTTCCTGACCAATGCCTTGATAAGGCCTTCCTCCAACCTGGACAGTCAGATGCAAATGGAAAGGGAAAGGGTAGGAAGAAAGTTGGTGGTGGTGATGAAAAGCTGGTGTTTTTTGAGGGGAAAGTGGAGGAGGAAGACAAGGGTGGGAGTGGGAGTGGGAGTGGAACTAGAGAACTTAAGGAGAAGAAGGTTGAGGAGTTTTTTAAGGGTTTGAAGAAGGTTCCTGATAACAAGGATGTTCAGGTTGGAGGAGACCCTTTTCTTTCGTCAAGGAGGACTGCTCTCCCTCCCGTGTGGGATAGTCCACATGGCACTGTGGTTTTGATCAACAAACCCAAAGGTCAGCTTTACATTCTTTTCTCTGCTTCCAATGAAACTGGTATTATGTTACCTGTGCAGAATGGTTGTTGTTAAATGCAATCAAGTTTGATTTTGGGGTGGGGGAGAAATTATTACATGTAGTGAGACACGGGTCTGGGAGAAATTATTACATGGTCCAGGATTAACGTAGTTGTTGTAAAATGCATGGGAGTTTACTAACATGTTGTGCTGTGGTATGATTAGCATATAACCAGGCTCCTTAAATATGTGGTTGAAGGTTCAATTTCATGTGTATAAAAAAATATACATAAAGAGATTAACCCTTTAAATGAAATGAATCTAGTCTGTGTGTATGGAAAAGATTAGTCTAATGAATCTGATTTGTTGCATTGAAAATCATTTGTTTAGAGAGATTAGTTCCTTGAATAGATATTTGTACCTCGAGCAATTTGTTCTTGGCTGGGGAGGGGGGAGGGACTATCATTGGTACTCATGATTAAGTGACTTCCTCACAGAATGAAAACATAGCAGTAGCACTAATGGTTTATGTAGTCTAAGCTTCATTGTTTTTGTGGCTTTGTTTTTATGGATCTCATATTTTATTTAAATCTTTATTTATTTGGTGGACCTTGCAACAACTTTTTGCTTAAGTTGTCATTTTTTTGAATGCTGTAAATTTGAAATGCTTGAAACTGTGAATTCTTTTTGCATGTCAATGAAAATATAACTGGGATGTAAATTTCTGACAGGTTGGACTTCATTCACTGTTTGTGGAAAGCTGCGGCGCCTTGTCAAAGTGAAAAAGGTTATTTTTCAGCACACATACTTATAGAAGTTTGCTTCTCCATGTAGACATACATTGTTACATCATTAATTTACAGGTAGGGCATGCTGGGACTCTTGACCCAATGGCTACTGGTTTACTGATTGTTTGTGTTGGCAAAGCAACAAAACTGGTAGACAGGTGATTGAAAATTAGAAATCTGTTTCTGTTTGAGTACCCAGTGGTGATGCCTGTTTCACTATCTTATAGTTTTGTTTTGGTTGAAATGACTTTTATGCTTCAGATATCAAGGGATGATTAAGGGTTATAGTGGGGTTTTCCGCTTGGGAGAGGCTACTTCAACATGGGACGCTGATTCACCGGTGAGTTAATTTATTTATCTCATGTGTAAGTTTATGAGCCAGAAAAGAAAATGTACTTTTGCCCTTCGAATGGAACAGCATAAATTCACATATAATCCGTACTTAACTTTTTTTGCAAAAAAGTGAGTCCATCAAATCTATTACTTGATATTCATAAGTTGAGTAACTTAATTTTCATGTTGAAGTTCAAGGCTGCATTTTAGTGCATTAGTGGATCTTTATCTGATGTTTAGGGTTTAAGACTAAAGAGCAATTCCATTGTGGTACAAATGAAATTGATTTTTCTTCGAATAATCAAATGGTTAGAGCGTCTGATATGTTTTTTGGGTGATACACTGTCCTCAGCGCACTTTTTTTGTGACTGAACTGTTAATCCATTCTTCTAAATAAGATACTTTTTTCTTTGTAAGATCAAACAATTAAAATTATCAGTGGTTATGAGAGCATGCAATGCTGTCTTGGAAATTGCAATCATTCCTATGACCAAACCACCAATCATTCAATATATCATCTGTGCTTAGATATACGCTTGTAAAAATTTAATTTAATTGCAAGATTGGGGGCAGTGACAATTGTTCTTTAGAACATTTGTCGAGATTGCTTTGGTAGTACTAAAAAATACTCAATCTTGAAACCATAGGGAATCACCCAACCCTAAAGAGCCATTCAATTTAGAAGGCTGAGCTATTAGGAGAGGGATAATGAATGACTTTTATATTTGTAAGATGCTCCTTAGCATGAAAGCTTTGAACTTTTACTAGTACAGCCACTGGCTTGCCATCAAATTGTGTTGATAGCCCAAAAGTCCATTATGAAAATGGAGATATCAGTTAGCAAGGATTTAACTCCAACACATCCACTAAGAAGGCTGTCACACAAAATAATAATTGTTTGATCAAAGTATATGTCTATATTTATGTTTAAAACCACAACTTTGAACATAACATATATCTGAATATTGTATTGGTGCTTTAACGTTGAACCATGTTCATCATAGTGAAAATGGTATAATAAGAGTACTCCAGATCATTATACAAGTATTAATAGCATTGAAGAATATAAGTTCAAACTTGGAATTTTGCATGTAAGTCGTTGTGGTGTGAGTCGTGAGCAATAGAACTAAAGCTTGCATTTAATATGGCAATACATTTATGTTTTTAAATTTTTACTATGTGCAATATTTTCACTCATAGGCCAACATAATTTGTAGGTCATTCAACGTGAGTCATGGGAGCACATCAAAGATGAGGATATAAAGAAAAGTGCTTTGTCCTTTCGTGGGGAGATTTGGCAAGTTCCTCCTATGTTCTCAGCTATTAAAGTAAGCTTTTGCAATTCTTGAATTATTTGATTTTCATAATTTCTTTTAAATTGAGGTTTGGGCAAAGGGTGGAAGTATGTTTTACCTTATATATTATCTAAATATTTTTAGGTATTAAATTTGTAACTGTATCGTAAAAAATCCTTGTTTGGTATATTGATGAGTTTTACACTGACTTGCTGAGCATCTAAAACAAGTCTCCTCCTTAACCTGGCTTGGGATTGGGACCAACTATGAAAATATAGTCTGAGTTATTAACAAATCCAAATGGAAACCTGTGATTCATATACCCAACCTCACCAGTTGAATAAGACGTTGTGTTGTAAATTTGTAACTGACGTGTAACTTGATGTGAATTGAGTATACTTTATTAATTTAAATATTTAAGGTGTTAAAAAATTGTACCTTTAGCCATTATTTGTAATTAGTTTTCAACTTTAGCTTTTTATGCATCAATATTATCAGCACCATGCTTCCCTTCTGAATAAGTTACGAATAAGCACTGGGAAATTTACTCATTTCTATAAACTTGGTTTGTGAGAAAACAGGATAGCGTCGTTTGATTCATGTGACTGGCTCTACCTATTGGATAAAGGATTCGTTGCTGTTATTTTTGTGTTTCCTTTCAAAACTCTAGTATTTTATTGTTAATTATTGAGTCACTGAGGCAACTAGTTCAGTTCCTTACAAGTTGTGACTGGTTCATGATAGGTTGGAGGTGAAAAGATGTATGAGAAAGCAAGGAGAGGAGAAAGCATTGAACTTTCACCTAGACGAATTTCAATTTTTCAGTTTGACATAGAGCGTAGCTTGGACGACAGGTAACATTTTAAACTCCTTGCTGCGCTTGAATCAGGATTTAGGTTGACCATTTATAGCAGTTGAAATCATCACTGGTAGACAGCAAAATCAATGCACTTCATTGATAACCCAATCCTGTGCTATTAGCAATTTAATCAAGAAATCTGAATCGACAATGTCATGACTCATGAGCATTCTTGAAATCCAGCTTGAGTATAAATCTTCAACCCTATTTCTTTTCTATGCTCTCAATAACTTCATTGACCACAAGGCAGTGCCAACAATCTGTCTGTCAGCCAAAAGAAGAGGTTGTAAATGCTTCAAACTCAAAGTGGCAGGGTATACCTCGGTCCTGACTAAGTAGTAGAAAAATGTTTTTAATACCTGTAATGGAATAGAATGATTACAACTCTTTGAGCTCCAAACATAAAACAAAAAGGTTACTATATAAATTCTTATTTCTTGTTTGCACCTATAACAGATTATATGTTTTGAGCATATCATAATAAAAGCTTTTACCTAGAGAGTGCTCTCTCCTTATAAAATGTAGTTTTGGGAAATATCTGTATATCGTTGTGGCTTATTTGTTTCTTTATACCCTGATGTATTTGTTTTATTATTTTTGCAGACAAAATTTGATTTTTAGAGTGACATGTTCCAAAGGGACATATATTCGGTCACTCTGTGCAGATTTTGGGAAGGCACTTGGCAGGTATTAGTTTAAGTATTTCTTATGTTAAAATTTTCTCTCATAAAAAGAGCAACATGACAAGTAGAAATATTGTCAGTCTCATGTTTTAATTTCATTCCCTCATTTATGTGTTTAATCTTCTTTTTACCTCTATAATTAGTCTATGATGATTTAGTGCTTTCCTGCTAGTGTTGGGTTGTATTCCTAAGTTGCTATCAGCAAAGACTAAAGTATATGCTCTGGTTCGAGTAATATTCAAAAATGCTTGCTTGTGCGAATGTTTTAACATGCATATACATGGATTCACTAAAAAAAATGCATACATGGACTCCATCAGACGTAGGTTATTTGGGCTCACCAGGTCTAATATTAAATATTTTATATTTATAATGAAGTCAGTGTCTTAAGTTTAGTCTGCAGTATTAATTTGGGGCAACAATGAATGGTCATGAAGATGAAAAATACTATAATCTTCTCCAACATCAAAGTGTTTTTTCTACTGTTGACTTTTTGCTCTAATTTTGCAGCTGTGCCCATTTAACTGCTCTCCGAAGAGATTCAATTGGTAAGTGGTCTTGGCCGACCTTCAAGAATCATTGTGTGTAAATGTTTACATGGTTCTTTTCTCTTCTCTTCAGGGCAATATTCGGCAGATGATGCATGGGATTTTCAAGAGCTGGAAGAAGCTATTACCAAAAATTATCTCTGACTTCTCTGCTCTGTTGATGATGGGATTATGCACTATTCTTTCTTGGGTAAAACATGGAAAGTGGTTTAGGGGTCATTTAGTTTTAGAAAATATTTCTCTATTTTCATTTTTAATTAAAAAAATGGTCTTATTTTTATTTTTTTTCTGTTTTCAAAAATTTTCATAAGCATTAAACACAAAATGAAAAAGAAAACAACAAAAAGTTGTTTTTGGTGATTCTTATTGTTTTCATTATTTTCAATTCAAACTTTTGTTAATAGAAAGTAAAGTGAAAATGAACTAATATTTTTGTAATTAGAAGTAAAAATAAAAAAAAAATGTTTTCACAAACTAAACGACTCCATATAATTCATTTTTCAGTGTTTATATAAACTTCATTCTTGACTTGTCAGGTAAATGAAAGTTAGAGAAATGGTCTGTAAAATTTGTTACTTATTTGTATGAAGATATTAATATGTTGAAAATAATTAGCGTAGAGATGTGGTTTTGTAGAGGAAATGGTATGTCTTAATGTATTAGGTTTGAATTTTTTTTTACTTGATAGTAAATCATTTATCGTTACGCTTTAACTTTAAAAATGACATATGTTAGTGTTACTTTTTTTATATTTATTATTATTATTATTAAATTACACTGACACATTGAGGTTTTGTGAGCATACACAACTTATTTTTTAAAAGTTTGGAATAATCTCCCTTCTAAAAAGTCTGAAAGTAATGTTTTTGAAGAATTTAAGAGGTTAGTGTAAGGGTAAAAAAGGTTCTGGTGTCTAACCTTACTAAATCTAAAAGGGTGTCTGTAATTTTTATTAATTTATACTCTTTCAAATGTAGTTAGCTCAACACTTGTGTTATACGAATGAAATTAAATAACATGTTAATTTTAGTTATAGTTAATATTGTGCACATATTGATTAACATAAATTAACATTCCAAAAACTAATTTTCAGAAACCTTATTATAACATTTTGGGAATTAATTTTAGAAATATAAAATAATGTCTTCTAAGTAATAGAGTATTAAAAACATGGAATTGAAGAGGACATCGCTAGCATTCCTCAAATTTTACTTGCGTTTTAATTTGGCAGTAACAAACCTGTCAGAGTGGTAGATACCTTTACGAATTTTTAAAATGATATTTTTGTTTCTTTTTCTTATTTTTTTTTTACCAGAAATCGCTAACTACGTTGCTACTTGCTAGCTCCACTATCATGTGATTTAGCTCTTTTTCTTCTAAATTTCATTGACATCCCACGTAGAAATGTAGAATGCTATGTGTGATTTAAAATTTTATTTTAAAAGAAGTCAATAGAAGTTGCAAATCTACGCCACGACTTCTTAATAATAATAATGCAAAGTATAATATATAAATCATTTACTATGGTAATAAAGGATTTTGTTCGGTAAATGCAAAAAAATGTCAGTTCAAAGGACACATTAGAACTATTGAATATTTTGATTAAACAATAAGTTTCATAAGAATACTGAGATACTAAAGAAAATAAACTTTATAAAATTGAAGATAGTATCATTAAATAGAGTAAAAATAATTAAATTTTATTTATATTTAAGTTTACAATTCATGAGATATTTTATTTATATTTAAGTTTACAATTCATGAGATTTTTTATTATTTATATTTGAGTCTCAAGGGAGTATATCATTTTTTAATATAGTTTTACTAAAATAGTCACAATTTCTAATTAAATTTGTTATTTTTTTCAATAAAATTTATATAATTGTTGTGGAGTTAAATTAAGTTTTTAAATATTATATTAAAAATTGAGTACAAAAGTTATTTCAAAAAACGTTAAAAGGAAATAAAATATTGTGGACTATATTTATAAGTGTTTGTTGAAGTGTAATTTTGGTGTATGGTCCAAGGCAAGGTCTCTCATAGATGCATCCTGAGAATCACGCATTAGTATTGACATTGGCCAACATTCTCGATTACGAGCTGCTACCAAGAGATACGCCTTTTATGCGAATACAGCCTTAAATTTTGTCCCAAACACTACACACATCGTTCATTTAGGATCCAATTTCTTGTATCCAATACAAAATACATCTACTACATCTAATGATGTGATGCAAAATGAATTATTATTAAATAAATGAGTCTAAGTTCATCTTATAGTTTATATTCTGTCATTCACTACAGTAAATTCAGACACCTTCCAGAAAAAGAAAAAAAAAAAAAAAGGACACGTCAAATCGAAATTTAAACACTTGTCGATGAAGTGGAAACATATCATCCATTGTGAGTAACCCCATGAAAATCGACATTTGATGCATAATTAGTACACTGTTTTTTTTTAGTTTCTAGAGTTTCTCGATAAATCCAGTGGATATTACTGTATGAGTATGACATTTGTGCATTTTCAAATCTCTTTTTAGTGGGAGACATTCATGATTTTAGTTAGTTAGTTTCCATTTTTTAGGTGGAAGACAGTGATTTTGGATTGTACAGTTACGAAACATATGTCCAAATTTCAACCATAAAGATTGTCTCATTATTATTATATTATAAGAATAAAAAATTAAAACAAACTAGACCAATTATCCAAAGCAAGAGAAATTAACATGATGACATTCATGAAGAGAAAAGCCAAAAGTACAAGAGAGAATCAAGTGGTGACCACACAAGATTCATGAGTCCCATGGTAAAAGCTAGACATGCACCAAAAAGGAATAAAGTTTTGGTCACGAAGTTAAGTCATTGACAACGTCATGTAGCTTTCTTTCCAATACTTGAGAACAAATCTGCCCCATGGTGCGATAGAAAGACAACAAATCAGACAATTGCTCCACTGACATCTTTCCCATCACAATTTTTGCCATTTTTTCTCTTCCCTCATTCAGCTTAAGCCTCTCAACATATGACCCTGCATTTCTAACTGTTGCCCCCATTTGCTTTAACCGATTCTCTTGCTGCACGCTTAAGGCCGTGTTTGACTACAAATACAAACATAGCACAAACAGTTAAGAAGTTAATATAATGTCTAAAACATGTTAGTATCATGTTTTGCAATCTTGCAGGATCTCATAGAATGTAATCAAATGTGTGTGCAATTGAGTACCTCGAGAAATTCTGCTCCAACCTCAAGTTCAGACTCTTTGGAAGAGCAATTCCCACGGCCCATGGTGTAGAGGTTTTTGGCAAGTGAAAAGCTACGCACTATAATCTTTCTCTTGTTCTCCATTTCCTTGTTAAGCTTCAGAGTCTTTGGCACCGATGTTAAACTGTTCAGTTTCTTCTGATAAGCAATCACTGCCTTCACAAACTCCTGCATAACAAATTATACTTGGCTCAAATTCTTTTTTCCATCATAATCAAATTTGGAATAAGATAGTCTACAATAATTCATACTTTGTTTAACAAACTAAATTAGACTCTCTAATTATCATTAGTGACTCTTAACTCTATTTACTGTTAGCGAGTAGAGACTCATTATACAACACACTTATCAACTAACTGAATTGGACTTTGTGTTTAATATTAGTGACTTATAACACTCTACTCAATCAACTAAACTAGAGTCTCTGGTTATTGATAGTGACCCGATGGATGACTCATAACACATGCTCTTCAACCAACTGAATTAGACTTTCTGTTAGATGTTAGCTACCGACTCATAACACCATGCTCAACTCAACCAATAAACTAAATTCTGAATTTATTGTTAGCTCAATTGAGTGAATATCAAGAAACCAACGAAATCTCTTAAGTTAACTATAGCACCAACCTTATATGCGAAGGGGCATCCAGGGTAATCAAATTCATCAGAATCAGGCTTCCTCATTCGCTCAGGGTGAAACTGCAACCCCATGATGAACTTGCCATCTTCAGGACTATAAGCATCCGGGTCATAAAACCCTTCAACCAACCCATCAGAAGCAAAAGCCATAGGAACAAAACGCTGAGCCAATCTCTTAACCCCTTGATGATGATAGCTATTAACCCAAATCTCCACTTGCTCATCTTCTTTTTCTTCTTCTCCACGAAACCAACGATGCAGAGGGGTGTTCTCAACAAGCTTCACCTTATGCCTATGCCCATCATAATCATCATAGTTTATGTGCATCACTCTCTGGCTCTCGTGGCACATTTTAGAAAGCTCTTTGTCTATGTCCTGGTAAAGGGTACCTCCACATGCAACATTGAGAACCTGCGAGCCTCTGCAGATTCCCAAGTAGGGAATGTTCCTCTCGAGACAAAGCTTGGCGAGGCTCAACTCTATCGAGTCTTTCTCTTTGTCAATTGCTGCGTCACTCGCGTGAAGCTTCCTGATTTCCTCCAACTCCTCTTGGGAAAGACTTGATTTCAAATCATCCTCTTGGTCATACCTGTTTAGATACAGACAAAGTGAAAGTTTCACATTGTTAAAATAAAAGGACCAACATGGATATGGATTTGTAATCTCCATTAATAAAAGGTCTTATTATCGAATATTAAGAGAAATTCAAGACCTATATGCGAATCATCTATTTCTTTACAAAGTAGAACAAGTACAAACGGAAGGCATCATTACCAACATGGTTCGATGTCTTGGCCCTCGCAGAGGAGCACGCCGTGGATTGGCTCGAAACTGGTTAGAAAGGTGTGGACACCGGAAACACGAGGCACGATCACGGGGACTGCACCGTAGCTTACTATGAGATCGAGGTGGTATTCACCTGCAAAATGAATGACGTACATGAGTTTGGTTACATTGGAAATTATGTACAGAATATGTAGACTTACCGACGAAGTCCACGAACTTGTTCTTGCGAAGGGTTCGACGAGAAACGATGAGGACGCGAGGGAGGATGACGGAGAGATCGGAAGACATTGGCGGGGG